ACTTTGGAAATTCGACAGTATTGTCCAAATTCCATTGTTCTTTCGAAATTTGTCGAAATTATAATGGAATTTGGACAATGTCAAAATTCTGGTGCCCAAATTCTAATTGCCCAATTTCCGCTTTACCGTAGTGAGTATGCTGTCAGACGTGTATGCACTAAGACATAAGTAACTTGCCCAAGATTATTACAAGACTTTGCTAGTGCCAAGGGTCGAACACAGTACCTTCGAAGTACGTGGCGAACATCATGCTGTCTCAATCAAGAACGACTACAAACTTACACTTTACCGTGCTTTTTTATCTTTTGGATTATCTCGAACTTCAATGGAAACATTGCAACATAGAATAATCTTTGTTGATTGATCAAAATCGCTAACAAATATTGTTTCTTGAACTTGATTTAATGGTATAACAAATTGTAGATTAGATCCTTGTATACTCAGCAGAAGTTCTTCATGTTCAATTTGAGGGATTCATTGTTGTGTATCAGTCAATGGTGCATTTGGAATATTTAAATCATGAATAACAAATTCTGATGCTGATAGCAGAGCACCGAACTGACATTTTATTTTTATATTCTTAAATTTAATGCTGCTGTCAGTCTTAGTCGTCATCGTATATCTGAAAAACAAATTTTAACGCAGGCATATTCGTAAAATACTCATCGTGAATCGATGCATTCTTTCGGAACATGGGTTTTTCGTACGAGTGGGTTTTTCAACAATTTGAAAAAGTTGTACATCGTTAGCAAACTCATAGAGCTTTTTACCTTCGAGAGTAGAAGCCTTCGTAGGACACCATTCGTAACAATGTGCATTAAAATCTCCTAGGAAGATCAAATCAGTATTTTTATAATAATTATTGCTTCTAATGTCAGTTAAAACAGCGTCTAGGTGTACAGTAAAATCTCCTATATCAATCCAATCAGGTCGATAACAAGCTGATAACAAAATAGTTTTTGGTTTAGAGAATTGAATAGTACAGAAGAATGTTTCAAAGTCTACATTATCAAACTCACGTCAGTTAAGTGTTTACACGATAGATTAATTTATGAAAGATCATAAATTAAGATGGCACCACCTTTTTTCCCTACTCTATCTTTTCGAAGTGGCACCTGAAAACCGTTTAACAATAGTTCTGAGTCAAGAACAGTATCGCCTACCCAAGTTTCAGTGATTACTACTGCCGTATGTTTTTCTAGCTCTACTAAACTCGCTAAAATTTCAAATTTTTTGACCATAATGGGATGTGGCGTAGAAATCGCATTTTTGCTATTGTCAAACGATGCCATTAATCTATTAACATTCAATAGCAAAATCGTTTTGCTATGCAGCTGATTTCTAATATAGAACGTTTTAACCATTATCAATTATTTCATACACTACAGTCCTGGAACGTAACATATTAGGTCGGGAAAGGAAGGAATAAAATAGATTTGAAGTCATATGATCGCATGTCTCTCTACACATATCTGCATAATAGTCTATGGCCAAAAAAGAAGCAGAACTGTCAAAATGTCTATATCATCTCAACTGCAAGAAGAACAGATCAAAAATGAGAAAATGAAATATACGGTCAATATAACCCAGAGAGTCAAGAAGGTTCAGAATCAATACCTTTGAGAGTTTTCAAGACAGAACAAATTCAATTATCCGTATAGATATCTTTGAATATCATCATATGAATTAATAAATACGATGCCTTGATCTTCTGTTTTATAACAAACTCTTCCTCCTCTAGTAAAACTTGCTTTTATTGCGAAGAAGTATTTTGTGAAAGTTCTTGGTAAGTAAGGACTTTTTCATCACCCTAAACCGAAAAAAGCGTATTTAAAAACCAAAAGGGTGTTCCTGCTTGACCAAAAAACTAAAAAGTAGTTTTTAAATAGAGTCGAAGGATTTTCTAGTTTTGGTAAAAACTAGAAGAGTTTAATTAAAATTCTTTAATTCTGCCTTAGACATGTTAGGACCGCTCGCCACTATCTATTTACATGAATACTATACCTACGCTTGGGAAAACGTGTTTTCTTTGTGGACCTCAGACATAGAATAATACAAGTTTACAAAGCGAACATTGGAACAATACAGAAACACTCGAATAAGATTACCTTGAAAAAATCCAAGTACTTGCAATTTTATTTGACAAGCGCTTGAGCAAATGCTTGTCAAACGAAAAATCAAGTATTTGCATGCTGGAAAAGTACTACAAGTAAATTTGCTTCTGGAAAAAAGACAAGTACCCGCTTCATTACGTAAGCGGAGTGCTTGTTCCCAGTACTTGGGCACAAGTACGTTTCCTAGGATACTCAATTAGTTAATAGACTCACTAGGATTAACTCTGATACATGTTTAGATCTCGTTATAACTAACAATGCATCAGTTTTTTCGATGCCTCAGTCATTCCTAATATTAGTAAATTACTTACTGATAAAGACCAATCACAGAGGGATAAAGTTTATCCTAATAACTCATGCTGGAAGATAGAATTTGCAACAAAATAAATATACCAAATAATACAGTAAAAATATCCTACAAGGACAAGACCCAGTTCAATGAAACACTAAAGCAACTATTTCAGAGACATAAAAGCTTGTTTCATAAATTTTCTAAAACTGGCCTAATTCATGACGAAGGGTAGCTCTCCTAGAAACTAAAAAGAAGAGCTAAGCTTGGCCTTCTGGAAAACTATCAAAAACGGACTTTGGCGATAGCTGAAATAACCCGCATTGCTAACTGTATATATATAGTTGATTTTATATTGTCACTATGATGCTTTCGGCCGTGCAAGAAAATAAATATTTTTTACAAATTTTACAAGTTATAGCTGATTTTTAATCTTTAACAGTCTTAAATGACAAATTTAGAAAGAAACTGAATGAAATATAGTTCAGTAGTCTTAAAGATGAAATACTAGCTTCTGTCTGCTTTACAATGATTTAATTCATTTGACACTGTAACAACAGAACTCGTTTACACTTCTAAGTAGGGCTCATACAAACTTCGACCTTTAAATAATATAAAAATTTTACACACAACAAGAACGAATTTTTCTGCAATTTGATACAAACAACTATAGTAGCGTACTTACTTATATTATAATATAGAATCTTCAAAAAGTTAATTTTTTAAAATTATTTGAAAGTTTTATAAAAGCTCTTTGGTTTATTGAATTATTAAAGTAAAATATTTTTTATAATATATGTCTGTGGCTTTATAAAGTTACGATTGCGGAGAGTAAATTCATAAGATTCATTAAATCAAATTCACTAACTTTTTTTCTGGTTCTACACTTGGAATATTGTTCACAAACAACGTGAATTCATAAGTGACCGGCTATAGTGCATCTAATGAACGCAAGCTCGATGTCGGCAGAGAATCTTTATGCAATCTACCAAGAACTTTTTCAGAAATAGCGGGATGAAGATATTGGGATACAGTTGGTACAATGGGTTTTCATAGTTAACTATGGCGGATCCGTTGGCAAATTGATACGTCCGAAATCCCTAAATCTCTAAAAGGACTTTCTTCGAAACATTGAGATTTGATGCTCGAAAGCGAGGTTTGATATGAAATTAAATATTTTGTTAAAGCTTCATATTTCAATAAGCTCTAAAAGGTTTTCTGGGGATCCTTCGGTGGTCCCCGAAGATCGTCTGAAGATCTCGAGAATATACCCATTGGAGGCACTACAGTTCATAACCCATGAATCCACTTTTTCTGCCCATAATATTTCGCGCCTCATAGCAAATTACAAATTGGATTAAAATTCAAAGGAACAAGGTCTCTTAATTGGTGTAAATAAAAAAGACAGAGCAATCTTTTTCTAATTTCCCATCGTAACTTTGGACTATTATAATAATAATATATGATACTAAATTTTGAAAGAAATTCATGTTGTATATGAGAAGTTATACTGACGAGGAAAGGTCACCAACCGATAAATCGCTTTTGGCTTAAAACCTAGTGGACAATAGGTAATCGAGTATGCTGAATCCGAACATAATAATGGTTTTTGCCACTAAGTCTCCAGTGACCCAGTTTCTGGAAAATCGATTTTTCACCTCAAAAACCTTTTGACACCAATTTTATTTCCTGATCTGTCTGTCCATAAGGAAGAGCATATGGCAAAACCTATAGAGAACTGGTTTGCAAAGGTTTCTGAAGACTGAAACTTCAAACATCTAATAGGAACAGGTGCACGTCCCTATAGATTTGTAAAAGTTCGTTAGTAAATGAAAGTGGAAAAACCAAAAACACAATCCACGCGGTCCTAACATTCGGTGTGCGAGTCCAGAAGGTCCGACACACTTCAGGCTTTGGAACGACCGATGTCTCTCATTCACACCTGTTTAGTTTTGTCCGGAAAATGATAGCTTTTTTTTACGGTACTCTTTTCCGTAGCTTTTCCGTGTACGGGTAACGGAAAACCTACCCTATTTATACAAATATCAGAGCTTGAGAAAGCCGACAGGAAGTTCGCGAACATTCTAACGAACTTTAGAGAAAATAGCTGGAATATTCGACAAACGAAAGGAAAAGAGACTTCAGAACATTCTGCACCAAACTAGCAAAGAGGACAAATGTGCAGATATGTCGCAGCCAGCTCTAAGCGCAAGAACTATCAGAGGAGAATTTCTCCCTAAAAACACTAACCTTTTTTTATATCTTGTGAGGCATAACAATCAGATCGACTCATCGAATGTAAAATAAGTGCATTTTCCCAGCAACTGTGATTGAAGAATGATGTCTTATCCATTTGCCATTGACTTTAACTGTCACTTCTCTTCTCTCTAACGGATATAATGTATCGAATAAAGATGAATTTTCTAATCATTGTAGTGCAAGTGACTTAGTCACATCCAATGGCAAAACAGCTTCAAAACAAAGCTATGGTTCTGATCGTATTGATGATGTTTCGATCATGATTAATGTTTCAATTGGTATATTCTTCTTAGCAATATATCCTCTACCTTTACCAGCAATTTCAATGAGCTCTAGATACTCAGACCAATCGACTAATGGCAAAGCAGATTCTGAAAGAAGAAAGAAAGCAAAAAACTGTGTAGCTTTTGAATACAAAACCTGAAGTTTCGAAACATGGTAAAGATCATATGTACTTTAGTATGCTCTCCATTTCGGTTCAACATATACTTGATCTATAATAACTTACCAGAGACGGGATCAGTTCGTGTTTTTTGAAAACACGGAACCGAACATGTTTTCGAATAGTTTGATGCATAGGCGGCGGACGCACTGCGGCTCGAGTGTCACCTGATTTCCGCGAATTGAGGCTCAGCCTCGCCTAATTTCAGACTTCACACATAGTTGTGAGTCGAGCTGAAAAAACTGCAAATACTTGAGGGATGTAAAAACTGAAAACTCCCTCAAGTGCAAAAAACCGTTAATATCTGTGTTCTAAATCGTTTTGATGTCTTCAAGCAATTCTTTTCGAACTCAGCGTTAAAAACTGAATATAAAAACATTGTGTGATGAATTTCGAAGTAAAAGCCTGTCCAGCATAGATGTCCCAAACCAGCCCTTTAAAGTTTTTTAAACTTGACGAATTTTTCGAGTTTTTACATCCTTCAAGTATTTTCAAATTTTTGACATGGAAAAAGTTTTTAAACATTTTTGAAGAATACATTTCATTAGTGCGCTCGATGCGTCCCGTCTAACAATGTATAATCAATAGGAAAAAAAATTCTACTTTAAGTTTGCATTCCGTGCACCGCATTCTGCTTGCCGCTTCGATAAAAGTTCGATGGGAGAGGAGAAGAAAATACTATGAGCCTCACCTAGTTTCAAGATGCTTTGCCATGTATGATTTGATATCTTTCTGGATCCACTATTTTAACAGATAGACCAAAAACTGTCCAACATGTTGCATTGGAATTTTTATCGATGATAGTATATTCCTTCTTTTTGTATTTGAGTACAAGTATGCATAATGAATGTATAAAGAAAGAGTCAAAACAGTTTATCGGCTACGTCTCAAAAGAGATACATTAAATGTTCTCATAAGAGATACAAATCCAGATTTTACAATGTATCTCATTTAATCAGTTAAAAAGTATATTTTTTGAGCAATGAATATTTTGGTAAGAAATTGCGTTTCTCAAACGAGATACAATTATAGATATGGAATCTCTCATTTCTATATTCCAAATAAAAATTAAATTAAATAACAGATAGAAACAATCAAGAGTATCCTAAAAGGTAATTAATATCATATTTAAAAAAATATTTTACAAAAAGAAGTTAATTTTAATCTTCGCTGTCTTTATCCTCATCGGCAAACGTCAACTGTTTGTAAACTATAAACGTTCACCCAAACATCTGGAACCGGGCAATGAACGTTCAAAAAGCAGAAGACTTATACGTGTTGAACAAGAAGATAAGCAAGGTCGGACAACGAGAAAAAGAAAAAAACAAGGTGTTGATCACGATATTTATTTAGTTGCTACCAGACAAGCATTACTGAGTGAGGGTACTTACGAGGGAACCGTTCGAAGTGCCGCGCTCCGATTTTTTCCGTTCATATGCCGTTTGAAAGAGTATATTAAGATAAAAGAAATCCTAAAAGAGTTTGGGCCCATGGCTCTTTAAGGCCCGGTTTTCTGGAAAACCAGTTTTTCAGAAACTCTGAAAAATAACCAAAACCTTACTTAGTGAGGCATGAGTGTAGCCCGCAAATTTCTGATTAAAATGAGATATCTCCCAGCTCTTCGCGACCTTTCTTTACAAAGTTATAGAACAACAACTAGATTATTGTGATACTAGTCTTATAAAACGATAGTGATTTCACAGCTATACTTACTCCTGTTTGAAACAATTCGTTTCCAGTTTGCTTTAAATTTTTTGCTTCAGTTAAAAATTCTAATACTTTTGTTAATGATGTATCCAAAGCGGTTGTCATTGTGTTGGCTTTTCTTATTAATACTCTAAATGAATAAAAATAAAAAAGTTTTAGTCGTTGTTCTTATCACTAGCTAATATGACTCGTTTTTATGTTTAATTTGCATTCTGATATCACAGTCGTGATGATTTTTTCTTATAGGCAGTGGATAAATAATCCTTATTCCGTAATTCACGTCAAATGGACAGATGAACACTGTATTACTGGTCTCTCTCAACAGTTTGATGTGACGACCTCTATTAAATGCAGCCGATGGCGAATATGTAGCATATTGTAGTGACAAATTAACAAAGGTAGTTAACTAGGGATAAATCAATCTGTGGATCATTTAATATCCTGACAAAAGTCCTTTAAAAAGGCAATACGTCAAGGAATCCTGCTATGTCTAGAAACAACCATCGTGTATACATTTCTCATGAATGCCTTTTTTCTTCAGCGCCCAGAGTCGAGGATCTAAAGCTTTTATCAAGAACAAAACAAACTATACACGTATTATAATAAGACTAAAAGCAGTGACAAGTTAATAATTTCACTTTATTAGAGATATAATAATAATAGCAAAATAAGCTGATGAATGACCAGGTACAGAGTAGTAAGCAAGATAAATTTGGCCAATAGTTGAATGCCGATTTTAAGCACTTTATATGTGTACCGCGATTAGCACCAGTAATGTTTGCTCTTGGTTTCTTGTTAGAGCTAATCGCTGCTTTATTGAGTTAATTGTAACACCATTATTCCAATTTTGTCATATGAATGTCGCTATACATCACTGTTCCTGCGCTTTACAAGCAATGCTTCTGCGTTCAGATTTATTTCACGAAAAGAAGATAGAAAGAAGAGATAATTATCTCGCAAGTTGAGTTTCACTCAACTCGTTAAGGAGCTTTTTCTATGGCAAGATCGACGAAAGTATAGACGATATCCGTGCCGGATCGCTTTTTCTTCGATCCGTATGAACTTCCTTCCACCAAAAACTCCGAGAGCAACTTCCACTGTTTGCTCGAAAGCTACATGAAAAGCCAAGTTTATTTCTGCCGATACAAAAGGATCGGATATAGATATATATTCGGGCTTCTAAAAGCTGTTCAACGACATAAATCTTTATTTTTGGATAGAATTCGCAGATTTCATTCTAACACATGACCTCGAGTTTAGAGCCAAAAATGCATCGGATGATGTCCAAAATGTTTTATCAAAAAGACGCCACAAGAGAAAAAAAACAAAATGGAATTTGCATAGAAATGATGTTTTAATCTTGTAGATGGAAACATGCACGAAAAGGGCGAACGTAATTGCGTGGTAAGTAGTGCAACAAACATCGAAAAGAAAGAAAAACGAACGGAATATTCACATAGTAGCTTTAATTTTTTCCTGCCTTTGTCTGTGTGTGATAGAGTGAGTTGGCACGAGTGTGTGAATCTAAAGACATAACGGTAGAGGAGTACTAAGGCTTCAGAAAAAACGTCCGTAGCGCGCGAATCATGGATTTCTAATATGTGGTTTAGATCCAGTTTTGTCGAGGACACTTTAGACTATATCTCCATGAAAAATTCCATAGATTTCTATGTCTTTTTTCAGAGAACTGATTTTCCACAGATATCCTGAATAACGGATCTTTGAGATTTTTTCTGAATTTGTTTTTGCTTCTGAAAGCATAGCTTTAGGCTAGCGAATGGTGAAAACCGCTAGCCTCTGTTTTTTATTCCGTTTGAATTATTCAAAAAATAATCACCGGTCTGCTATTTTAGCACCTATAGTAGTGCAACAAACATCGAAAAGAAAGAAAAACGAACGGAATATTCACATGATAGAGATGACTACTATCGCCGCAAGAAAATAGTGGTCCTTGATATTCTTTTAATATCTCAGCAAGGAAAGGAGCAAGAGACCTGCGCTTTTGAGATTATAAAACTAGACACTTTGGGACAAGAGTCTATGAAACAATTTCGGAAAAAGCAACATCTTCAGATGATAAGCCTTGTGGGAACATTTGCAAGCTAACGCCGTTTTTCGAGAAAGCATCGAATTTTAATGGTTCAAAAGTGAAAAAAGTAGTTCGAGATGAGATCTTTCATTCTGCTTAACTTTCAGGTCGCTATCTCTCAAGGTACAATCCCTAGGAAATTTCTCCGATGACCTACCTATCTCAGTCCGGACCCTGCTGAAGAGATAAAAAATAATCGAATTATAGATTTTCGAATATCCTGATCATCGTGCCAATGTTTATTTCAGGTTTGGGATCTAATTTTAATAACATTTTGATTTTGAGTTTGGTTAATGACGGGATTTTTACAGTAAAGGTATTTTTGTAAATGTGTATCTGACCTCAGACACAAGGATGTAACCGGTACCGGCAACCGGTCAGTCCGGTCAGGAATTTCTGACCGGCTGGCAGAAAGAAAACTAATTTGACCGGTCGGTCGAGAAAAAGAATGTTTTTCAGTCATTTTTTCCTGAACTATCATTTTCACTGGTTTTCGTTGGTGAAGAGTTTTCTGGCATACAAGGACATCAGATGTGAAGCGAGGGATTCTGATTGTTCTATAGGCTGATAAACAGCAAGAAGAAGTGACTTTGATGAAGTATGATCTGATTCTAAACCCAGAACACATCGTACAAGCAATGGGCGAAACTGCAACAGCCGTCCGC